CATCATCACATGATCTGTCAATCATCATCACATGATCTGTCAATCATCATCACATGATCTGTCAATCATCATCACATGATCTGTCAGTCATCATCACATGATCTGTCAGTCATCATCACATGATCTGTCATTCATCATCACATGATCTGTCAATCATCATCACATGATCTGTCAATCATCATCACATGATCTGTCATTCATCATCACATGATCTGTTGACGCTGCCATCTTAAAGGGCTGGAAATGCCGGGTAGCGACGGAGGAAAAACAACACAACCTTCATCTACATTTGGCCTGATTGCCGTGCAGTGCAGTCTGTGGCCTTTTATTTAGTGCATTGCATCCACCTGTGTCAAACTCCTCCCACAACAGGAAGTCAACAAGAACATCAACTACATTCAACACCCCCACTTGTTCTTATGTTGACATAATACATTTACATTTCTCTTTTACATTTACATACCAAAAATAAAACATGCAAATGTATCCATTCTCATTTTAGTTACAGGCTTTGTTAAGATATCAGCCACCATTTCTGTTGTTGGACAGTAAGAGAGAGTTATTTTTCCATCACTGATTGCTGATCGAATGAAGTGATATCGAATGTCAATATGTTTGCATCTTTGGCGATAGACCGGACCTTTAGAAAGAGCAATTGCACCTTGATTGTCCTCAAAAATATTCACAGGTGCATATTCACATCCAAAGTTCATTCCATTCACCAGATTCACAAGATAAATACTTTCCTGTGCGGCTGCAGCCAAGGCAATGTATTCAGCTTCACATGTGGATAAAGAAACTGTGGATTGCTTTTTAGACTTCCAGGAAATAATGGGTCCAGCCTCAGATAGACTAAAACAATAACCAGTCATACTCCGTCTATCTTCCTGGTCACCTGCCCAATCTGCATCACAGTATGCCACAAGTTTAAGATCATTTTTCTTGAAGCATAATTCCTGATTTTGCGTACATTTCAAATATCTTAACACATGCTTTGCTGCAACCCAATGTTGATCTTTTGGTTCAGACAAATATTGTGACAATTTGCTGACAATAAAACTTAAGTCTGGTCTAGTGCTCATCATTACATAGATCAAACTACCCACTACCTCACGATACTTTTTATGATCAGCAGAATGACCTTCACCATCAAACTTCAGTTTATTTTCACATGGGGTTGATCTTGGTTTGCAGTCAGTCATGTTAAACCTCTCCAAGATTTTCATGATATATCTTTTCTGGTTCATTTTTACTTGACCATGGTTCTGTGTAAAATCAATTCCTAGAAAATGTTTAAGTTTTCCAAGATCTTTAATTTTAAACTTAGCAGCCAACATTTTCTTCACACTTTCGAGCATTTGATCATGGCTAGCTGCAATAATAAGGTCATCAACCCAAATAATCAAGATCACCCTCTCATGTTCATTTTCTTTAGTGTAAACACAATAGTCAGCAGGGTTCTGCACAAAGTCATTTTCAATAAGGAAATCATGCAACATTTTATTCCAATTTCGTCCTGACTGTTTTAGACCATAAAGTGACTTATTAAGCTTACAGACTAATTTCTCTCCTGTCTCTGTTACCACTTCAAATCCTTCAGGTTGTTCTAAAAATATCTCACAATCAATAGGGGCGTGTAAATATGCTGTTTTGACATCCATTTGGTGCAATTCCAAATCATAATGAGCAGCAAGCTGCATCAAAACACGCACAGAAGTCATATCAGCAGTTGGAGAAAAAGTCTCATTATAATCAATACCAGGAATCTGATTATAGCCTTTTGCTACATATCTAGCCTTATAAAGTTGTTTAACTGGATTTTCTTTAATAGTAAATACCCATCTACCCCCCACTGCTTGCTTACCTTCAGGTAATAATGTTAGGGTGTAAGTATTATTCTCTATCAAAGAGTCCATTTCATCCTTCATAGCTTTTGCCCATAGTTCAGATTGTGGTGAGCTCATAGCTTCTTTCACTGTCTTAGGCACATCGCATGTGATCCTATAACAATAGTCAATGTTCATGTGTGCTTGATCATCGTCACATTTCATTTCATAATCCTGGTCTGTGTAATACTTGGGAGGTTTCCTTTCTCTCTTAGGATAACGAGCATCAAGGTTAGCCTCACTTTGATCCAAGTTCTCATTTGTATCACAAGTCTCAGTTTTAATTTCATGTGAGATCATTGTTCTCAAATCTGGTTTTGATAGTTCCCTTTTAACTTCCTTCTGGAGTAAAATGTTCTCACTTATGTCATCAGTCTGAGTGTCACATTCATTGGTACTTCTTGTGATGAACTTTACCAGTCTATTCCTAAGTACTCTACCTGTGTCTGGATAGAAGACAAGATATGCAGGACTATTTTTGTCGTAACCAACAAAAATTCCCTTTTCACAACGTGGATCCAATTTTTTCTTGTCATATTTATATGCATAACATTCCGATCCAAAAGTTCTCATTTTTGAAAGGTCAGGTTTCTTTCCAGTTAACATGCAATATGGAGTCTGCCCAACACGTCTGTTGTAACATCTATTACGGATAATAGCAGCCGTCTGAACTGCATATGTCCACAGATTTTTAGGCAGATTACTCTCAATTAACATGCATCTTGCCATTTCAAAAACAGTTCTCCATGTTCTCTCAGCTGTCCCATTCTGATGGGGAGAGTAAGGAGCTGAAGTTTCATGTCTAATAACATTTTGACAAAGCAAAGATTGGAACTCTCTAGACATAAACTCAGTTCCATTATCTGATCTTATACATTTAATTTTCCCATAAGGTGCCACATCTGCAAAAAACTTCTCTGTCCCTTTTACAGTATCACTCTTAGCTTTCAAAAAATAGGTAAAAATAGCACCTGAATAATCATCTGTAAAAGCTAAGGTATATCTAAAGCCATCTTTAGCAGCTGGTTCTATTGGTCCAGCCAGATCTGCATGTACAAGATCTAATGCACCTTTAGCTTTTTCATCAGGATCTCTACTTCTGATCTGAGCAAATTTACCCTTTATGCATATTTCACATTTCAGATCAGGTTTATCAGTTTTACCTCTAATTTTCATTCCATCTGCAACACCCTCCAATTTTGACACATCATCATAATTGCAGTGACCTAAAATTTCATGCCACGTTTGAATGTCATAGCAGGCTTTGCACTCATCAACGTCATCTTTAAGAGTATTTAAATAGAAAAGTCTATCATAAACATCAATATCAAAGATCG